TATCTCCTTCGCATCATACTTACCTGCTAGGTTGAACAACTACATATGGCTAACTCCACTTTCGCAATAATTACCCGCCAAGAATAAAAATTAACGCTCCCCTGGTCATGCCTATGACTGGTCCCTCGCGCATGCGCAACCATCTTTTTTCTTGGCGGCCATTTTCAATAGCTGCCATTCCACATTGCATTCGCATATTTCGGCATTTATATAAGTAAGTGTGTTATTTTGTCGTGTCTATTGTAGCAGAAGCCTGTTAGAGGGTTACGCTGATTGTTTTTAGTCGTTTTTGATCGGTATCGATCTTTATTTACGTACATATTATTTATTTGCCGTTCGTGGTTTACCGCGACTCGTGTCCACGTGGGACCGGCATGTCTTCGAGATCCAAGAAGTCAGACCCTGGTAAAGGGTCAAATACGACTACTTGCGACTCTAACGATCCTGGTAAAGGGTCAAAGAACTCACATAGTGCTGAGAACCGGGAGAAGGCGTCTCCCGACACAGAATCGACCGAGGGTTACTCGGCATCTAAGGGGTCAGATTCGCCATCTAAGTCGGCGAAGATCACACGGTCTACGACTGCGAGTACTATAAGTACGAAAGGCAAGGGGATGACTAAGTCTGTTGTACTTAACCTCATTCAGGGGGAGTTAAAGAGCTTCAAGGATGATATCGGGAGCATGATTAGAGAAGCTATGTCTGCCCCGGTTCCTGCTCCGGCTACCGCCACGAGTGTCGGTCCGGTCCAAAACGAGGATACACTTGATTTGGAGGATTTTGATGATTCCGTCTCCTATGGGGGTTCCCCTTCTAAGAAACGTGTGTGGATTGAGGAACAGAGGTCATCAGTTGGGATGAGTTCTCAGTACACTAGACCACTCACTCATACCTCTCATACCATTACTGGTGTGTCAGCCGAGACAGACTCGGTGAGCGGTAACTCTGATAATGGAAATGAGTTTCCCCAGGATAGAGATACCCCCCCTTCCTGGAATAAGATGATTGCAGACATTCAGAACATGCTGCACATCGAAACAAAAGAGGAACAAACAGTTGTAAGAACTTCCATGCTTGCAGATACATTTGTGGGGTTACCCAATACTCCCAAGGACTCAGGTCCTTCCTTACCGGCTGAGGGCCTTCTGATTAACTCGTGGAAAGAGATTGAGAAATCTTTTCCCAAGTTTGCCTCGTTTAAATCGAGACATAGGTCTCAATATAGGTGGCCTGAATCAGACTTTGACATGTTTGGAAAGGTTCCAGAAGTAGACGCGGCAGTGTCTACATACATTCAGTCG